CCAATTCCAGGGGAAGTCACTCTCCAACGCGATAAATCGCAATTCGGTCGACGCGATAGTGACCGAAATCTTTTCACGATATGCGCTATGCAAAGGCAGGAATGTAGTACGAGTACGTAAGATCGCAGGTCGCACAAAGAATCAACAGTGATGTCACTTTTCAACGTTTTCCTGGCAAAAAGATGAAGTTCTCGGAATTGTCGCGTTTCATGAGACATTCAATAATTCTTTTGCGATGTGAGTGAAGATATTACGAAGATATATAGTATATACATACCTTCGCGAAAAAATAATTCGCGAGTTTACCGGAGGATTCAATGATTGATACAATGAGACGCGAGATTGCTTTGCAGAAAATAGGTAAATTAATTAAGGATTAACAGAACTTTTTCGAATTTTCGATTTTAAATATCAGAAATTAATTTTTGTTAAAGCAGATTCAAATTTTTCTGAACATTTCTGAACATTTCTGTAATGAAAAGAAAAGGAAATTGAAAAATTTGAAATCACACATTTCAACAAACTCGTACAATTATTTCTATACAGAAAGTTTCCTTTGAATTAATCCTAATTAACACCAACTTTTCTGCAAGGCGATAATGGCGGATTGTGAAGACTAACAGAATATCTCTTTTGGATAAGACCGCGATAAGCGCAATCACCAACTACCTACCAATTGGTCCTCCGAATTGTTTGTCAATGATTTGTACACATGTTGCAAATTATAGATTTACTCCATTGTTCATTTCTTTCCTTCCTTTTTTTTTTCACCGATTTCTTCGAGTGCTTGCACCGCACACAACACATGCATATGCAATTCACAAATAGCTCTCTTCGTCATTTCTTTGTTTTAAATATATATATATATATATATATATGTATATATGTATATCGTTTACATTTGTCGCTACGTCCGATTCTCAAAGTATTTGCCATGTTACATTCTCTCATTCTTTTTTTCTCTCTCACTCTCTCTCTCTCTCTCTCTCTCTCTCTCTCTTTCATTCTCATTCTCTCTTTCTTGCGTGCATTCTCTCTTTCTCTCGGGATCTGCGTCGGATTGTGCACATATACGTACAATTAACATATACGACGTAGCAGTCGTTGAAAACATCCATGATTGACTTTTGCTACAATTATACAGCTTATTTAGAGTACAACTTGTTCTGTTATACAAATGACTTCCTTCAACGTGACGCCTGTGATGTGATTGTTTTCTTCTTCTCCACGTGTATATGTATGCGTGTTTCCTTGTTGCTCTTGCATTATGTGTATGGAGTGTAGTATTAGTGGATTATTGTTTTATCATTAATGTAGTTATCATTAATATTAGGCGTATATATATAGTACAGTTTACACACCGTACGATACATACATACAGATGCCCGCGACAGCCGGAAAAAGTTTCTCTCTCTCTCTCTCTTGCTATTTTATTGATTGGCATTTGGATTACATTGATAGGTCGGTCCTCTTTATCTGTGCTTTCTACACTTGCACTTTTCTTCACGCCAAAAATATGCACATAAAGAGAAGAAAGCAGGAATATGACATATCTTTTCACTTATTGCAATTTTAGTTCTCGAAATTAATGTTTTGTTTCGTCAATGTATTTATATTATATCATTATATTAATTATATATTTATTTGTATTTTCAATTTTATGATTAGTAGATTTTAATACTTTAAATTAAACATTACAATTGCATTTTAAAATTCTATTTTTTGAAAAGGAGGATAAAATCATATACCACATACACACGCGTTGCCAAAATCACTATTTTCTCTCATATTCTTGCTTTCGTTTTTACTTGTCGCGCTCGAAGTGGAAAAAGTATAGAAAAAGAAGAGAAACCTAATAAAAAAGCAGATTGAAATCCCATATAATTTCAACGAGTTCATATTTCGATACTGTAGACAAAAATAGACGATCTCTGTTTATCTGTAAATGGAAACGCGATAATTGCAAGATCTTCCCGTATCTACAGCAAAAATCGAATTCGTTGAAATTAACTCGGTCTCAATGCTAGCTTTATAAACCACGTTTTGCAAACACGCATTTTTACACACACGTTGCTTCTTTTTCTCTCTATGTTCCTTTCTTTCTCATTCTCGATTCCCCGATTGCACGAGGACGCATTCGTTGTCGACAGTTCGCTAAATCACGACAGTTCGTGATCGATTAATTGCGGATCGATGTCGCGGGCCGCGTAATCTCCGGCATGTTTCTCGCGAAAAAATTCGCGCGGCTAAATTAACGCGTACATTACACCTCATTACAGATTCAATGATACATGATAGATACCTTTTTGTTTTTATTATTTCACTTATGTACAGAGGGCAGCTTACCTAGAGTAGGTAGGTTTAACGCCGGATGACGACTGAAGTAGTAAGCGGGACGCCGGCACTCCTCGATAATTGACGCCAGATCGATGCTGCTGGTACCTCTGAATGATTTACAGTTTAGTTGAATTTGTATCCGGCCCTGTTACAATCTTGGCCTTCGTCGATCCCGATAATAATGCTCGCTACTTTAAATAATTTCGGGGGAGAAAGTGCCATTACGATCGATACAATGTGAAGTGGCTGACTGATAATTATTGAACGTTACGTAATACCGCGTTGACAGTGTCTCGAAAAACTCTGGGATCTAACCGTCTAAATTTTACGGTCTACCGAGGACGATATTCTCTTTTGCTCACAATTTTGTCGTTCTCGGAGTCGCTTAATAGATAATCGTGAATAATTAGTTATACACAGCAAGAACTACAGAAATTCTCTTAGAGTTTCTTTTATACATATATATATATAAGTACAAAGTGTAACAAAAAATGGAGTAAAAGTACAATTGTAAGTATTAACAGTGCAATTAACCCTCCGCGAACCAGGTGAAAAATCAATATGGATCATATTTGGGTATATCTCATACCCCATGCTGTACTTTATTATAAATATATTATAATTTAGTATGATAACAAAACGCACTCTCCAGTTACACCGGCAACATGCGCGCAGTACTTTTTAGAAAGTTATAGAAATTCATTCTGCTGGAGTATATCACACCCCACCTGGTTCACGGAGGGTTAAGATATTTTCATGAATAACAGTGCCAAGATTTAATATTATAATCATCCTTAATAAAACGTTAAAACATTTGCGACAATATACTTCAGTCGCAACGCAAAAACGCAGTTTAACATCTGAATCGGTTGATTGAAGTGCTCGAGATTGAAGTGAGCGAAAATAAATTGTGCATATATGACTGGTGTTGGTCGCCATCGTCATCGAGACAGATTTATATCTAAATTACGAAAATTTCGCGCCGAGTATACGTCAGTGAATCATCGATTGCGCCATAAATAATCGAATACTACCTATTGATCGGGACAAAACGCTTCAAGCGATTTTGTGTCAAAATGGTTGAGAAATACTTTAGAGAACGCTTTAGAGAAAAGCGTAAACTTCTACTTTTAGAAATGGGCAGCTTCACAATTTTTTCAAAGCGTATCGCTGAAATATTTTCCTCTTCAATGCTTGAAACTTTTGCTTTTATTTTCAATGTTTGAATTTTTGAGTTTATGGTCATATCTGATTATAGATCGATCGTCAGATCTATTTAACTCGCTTCAATTACATATTAACGTAAATCAAATTTTACAAATATTAACACAAAATATTAACATAAATTAAATCGTGCTCACACACCGCCTTTATATTTAACCCTTCAATTCCTCTGGTCTCCGTGAACGTTTTAAACGTGCTTATGTTTGTCGCTGAATATTTACTGCTGCAATAATGTCACTAATTGTTATAGAATATCGTTAAATATTAAATGTATGACAATATTTAAATATAAATACTCTGTTGCATAATATGTTTTCCTAAACAGCTTGCAACTTCCAAGCGACATTAACACGTGAACTTTACGTACGTTATCTGCGTTGCTCACATTAAATTAGACAGGAGGAGCTGAAGGATTAATTCGGACTCTGTTACATCTCAGATTGATCGGCATTTTGAATTCGTCAAATTTTATCGAGTGATTGACGCTTATTGTCAGATTTTCCTGGGCGTATCTTACTTAATGCGTGTTCTTGAGACATGGAATCATTCACTTTTGCGTGAGTCTACAATGCCAAACATCGAGTGAGCAACATCGTCCCTGCTATAACGATCGTCGTCATTAATCATATATCAATCGCGACAAAATGCACCTCTCTTCATTCAATTTCTCTCTTTCGCGGTTTACTATCTCCTCCTCTTTTTATTAACAAAAATTAAAATATCCATTATTCCCTTTGATTTCAAATCTTGATGCTACAGATACGTGAGAACAATTTTCATACATGTCATTCACCGAAATAATAACAAAATTATTATTTCAGCATAACGTGAAATTCATAATTTTTCTGTCTATAGAAAAATATAAAAGGTATAATTAAATTAGATTTATTTTTGTAAAATTTTATTTTGTTGCTCCAAAAATCGTTTTTATCCAGATGATTAATGCTAACTGCGACTAATTGGATCTTGTGCTTCTTTTGGCTCTTTCAAAAGAAGCAATTAAATTTTAATTAATCTTCGAGAGCGTGAATTTATATATATAGTCATTACAATTGACATTTATTTCTGATAATTAAAACGCGACTATTGGAAATCACAAAATGGAAAACGCATTTTCGCGTGTCTGCAACATGGAAATTTGAACTTTCGGAAATTATTTCAAGTTCATCTTTGACTCTCCAGTGTATGAACCGAAAGGAGAATCGCAACCGTTCATTTGACGGTCGTTGGCTAACTTTGTTGCCACCTCGATGATCACAATCATTATGTATATATATATATATATATATATATATATATATATATATATATATATATATATATATATATATATATATATATATATATATATATATATATATATATATATATATATATATATATATATATATATATATATATATATATATATATATATATATATATATATGTGTGTGTATATATATATTTATAGCGTACATTATTCATATATATCATCTCGCGTCGAGAAAGGGTGAAAGAAAACAGGTGAGAACGAAAGTCAAATTTTAAAATAAATAACGAGGGGGAACGACGAAGTAAATGGACTAGTTAACACACCAGCGTCGCACACGACACTTCCTTCTCCTTTCTTTCTATTTTTCTCTCTCTCCTTCTTTCTCCCTTTTTCTAACACACGTAACACACACGTGCACACATGCGCGCAGACACACGCACAAAATACGATCTCTCGGTTTTTTCTCCTTCTTCTGCGTGTCGTCGCATTTTTTTTAGCAATTACAGTTAGTGTTCGCTGGATTGGTCGGCTGATCGGTGAGTCGTTGGCCCTTGTTCTGACCCATACCGCCCGCCCCCATCAGGGTTGGATCATTGTCCAAAGATTCGCTCATCTTGTCGCATATTATGTCCACCAGCTGCTCGAACACCGCCTGCCGAAACGAGAGAGAACAGAATCGATCATCTACGTGACCTCGCGACAAGCGGGATCGATATATGCCTCGCGTTCGCGTCTACTCCGAGACACAATAAAGTGAGATTGAAAACGTGTCAAAAATCGAAAACGCCGTCTAAAAATTCTCATAAATGTTTATATTGCCTTCAATTGTGTATAGATATAAAATAACTAGTAAAAAAAAAAATTAGTTTTTTTTTCTTGATAAATAGAGATTTAGTTATAAATCAAGTTAATATTTTAAAACAAAATTAATTTTCTTTTCCAAAAATTTATTCTGAACATTTAAATGTTCAGTTAGACAATTAGTAATTGAATAACAGTTATTTATATCATTTTCTACAATATAAAATAAAAAGGCAAGAAAAATTAAAAAATCATCTATATATGTAATTTTATATTTTTAGAAATAAGATATTCATGCTTTTTACTTAATAAACAGTTGATTATCGAATTCGTGATACGCACCTTGACGTTGATGTTCTCTTTGGCCGAAGTTTCGAAGAATCGTACTCCTAATTGCTCCGCCAACTGTTTTCCCCTTTCGGTACTAATTACCCTTTCCTCTTCCATATCGCACTTGTTGCCCACAAGAATTACTTGGGCGTTGTCCCACGAGTAGTTCTTTATTTGCGTGACCCAATCCTGAACTGAATTAAAGGACTCCTCGTTTGTGATATCGTACATTAAGATGAAACCCATCGCGCCTCTGTAGTAGGCCGTCGTGATCGTTCTGTATCTTTCCTGACCCGCCGTGTCCTGTAAAGATAACAATAAGCGACATAATTTTATATTATAAATAGATATAGTCATACATTGCTTGCAATATGGTATTTCTAAAAGTGAACACAATTACATATAAAATGCAAGAACTATAATACATAAAATATAAAATGTATAAATTCTATTAATAACGCATTGTGAAACCCATTACATACATTAATGTAATGGGTTTCACAATGCGTTATTAATAGAATTTATACATTTTATATTTTATATACTTATTATAGTTCTTGCATTTTATATGTAATTGCGTTGACTCTTATATTTCTTTGTATTGTCGTTTAAAAAAGAATTAAGAGTCCTGTATTATTTGACATTTGTTTGGATTTCTAAAAGTATTTTATAAGACAGATTGTTAAAATATCAATTTAAAAAATAACTAAAAACATATATTCGTTATAGGGTAACTCCGGTATATACGCCGCACCTATCAAAAACTTAATTTATTAAGTATTATTTGCTATGTTTAAAATAAACATATCAGTAAAAACTTCGTACTGTCTACTACTATGAAAAAAATATTAGAAATCCGAAATATTTAGTTTTCGTATTAAAAAATAATAACTTTTTGAAATATCTTGCATTTTTGCTATATATAGATAATGGGTGGGATATATGGCAAAAATGCAAGGGTTTCAACAAACTAAACAAAGAATACGAAAGCAAAGCATTTGTATTTTGCTATACAACATGCTTTACTATTCCTTTACACGTATGTATCACGAAATAACCACTAGGTCTTTTACACGCCTCACGGTTATTATTTTATGTAGATTATAATTTATGATGATGCTATTTGTTACGCACACAGTGACAAATCGATTCAACTCACAATAATTTTATTAATATTGACAGTAAGAAGCTGAAATTATAATTCAATATTAATATGACATAAAGGCATGTAACACAGTAGTTGCGAGAAAATTACCCCCACTCTTTCTATTTTTTCTGACTTCCGCGGCGTAAATCCCAGTGCGGCGTATATATCGGAGTTACCCTATAGGCAAGTCATTATTTTAATGACATATTAATCTTGAATAATCCATGTTAATATATCATAATGACTACTTTTCGTTAGGAAATTATATTATACGTGCACAATACATTGATTATATACTGACCCAGATTTGTAACTTGACCCTTTTGTCGTGTCTGAAGACGGTCTTCACCTTAAAGTCGATCCCTACGGTTGACACAAAAGCTGAAGTAAAAGAATCGTCTGCGTAGCGAAAGAGGAAGGAAGTCTTGCCAACAGACGAGTTGCCGATTATCAGCAGTTTAAACATATAATCAAAGTTCTGATCCGCGGCATCTCTGCCATCCTGACGCGCCATCTGTGAAGGAATTATTCGTGTTATCTCAATTTATGTGAATTCAGATAACTCCTACATTTTTATATCTAAATTAAAGAATGCATAAACTTAAAAAAATTACAAATGTGAAAAAATATTCTTATCAATTCCTGGATTTAACATCTGAAAGAAAAAAATTAATTTCAGGATTTATTTTTTTTATGTAATACAGAATTTACACAAATTCAGATAATTTCTATATTTTTAGATCTATAAATTTAAAAATATATACATAAAAAAATTGTAAATAAATTATAAATGAATTATAAATGAAAAATTTCTTATTAATTTTGTAATTTAACAGAGAAAATTTGATTGTAAGACTAAAATTCAAATGTATTAAAATGTATTAAAATTAAAATATATTAAAGTGTATTAAAATTAAAATGTATTACGTTTTATATATTTTTAAAAATGTAATATTTTTAAAAATGTTTAATAATTATGATTAATAATTACAGAAATTATAAAAGTAACTTATTATACTTTTCCATGTTTTGTAACACTTATGGGTCAACGATTTAAAAGAAAGATACACGAGACTTGTATATTGACTGGCTTGTGTGTATGAACGTGCACGTCGTAAAACTGCTCGTTGTTCTATATCGGACGAGATGGACAAAAGGAAGGTGCACGATGTAATAGATGAGCTCACTACTGATGCGAAATTTGCCACGGTTTATCGGGTCGCTTGGTCACGTTTACGAAAACGTTGGATAAAAATATCGAAAAGTTTGTGGCACATAAAGCCACACAAGAGAAATTCGGTTTTACTCTGTACCTCGCAGAGTCAGTTTTGGAATCAATTCAATAACAACAATAAAAAGTATTGTAGCTTCAAAACTTTTCGGGGGAATTATTTATCGAACAGTTTTTCTTCTTTAAAGTTTTTCTTTTGTGAATTATAACAGAAGCGAAATATCAAATAAATACAAAACTGTATGGTATTCGAGTTACAATATTTTTTTGGGTCGTGTTACTGACAAAGCAGGATTGAAAACTGTACGTAACTGCAAATGTTTAAAAATACGAGTACAGTTGCAATATGCACATTTTATCGGTATCATCGAATCATGAATCGACCGTTTAATGGATCATTTTAAAAACACTGGAAAAGCTTTGGCGTGTTTAAAATCTTTTCCAAAAGATAAAAAATTTTAAGTACCAAAATATAATATCTTTAATTTTTTATTTTAAACAATGTAAACAAATTTTGAATAGGGATAAAAAGAAAATTAAATTTTATTAGCGTTTTAACGCTCTTTTGATCGATTGTTAACTGTGCGTTATTATATAATTATTTTCATAAGTCTTTGAAATTACAAGCGGAAAATTCAATTAAATCACTCGATCATGGAATATATAAATTGTCAATATTATCCCGCACGAGTTTCAATTGAAGTCCATTGAATTTTCTCGCGCGTTTTCCCTTCGTTATAGTTAGTTCTCTCTTTGCTCGACGAAACAGCACTCATGCTAACGGATACTCATGTCGAGTCGATATTCCGATATACCGGATTATTCCTCTGTGAGGTAATCTCGACGATAGACAGCATCCGGGCCATCCGCGTGCGTAGCTCGAAAACGGAATCCTTAACTGGCGTGTAGGACGTGTTCTCGCACCTCCTCGACATCTCAAACGTCACACCCAATCGATCTCTTTGTCTCTTTACACTCTTCTTTTATTACAGCTTTCGATCACATTCCCAATCGATTTCTCAGTCCGCTTTAGTTTTTATCGATTGCAATTTATTAACCATTTTATTTCAGTTGTCTCTAATCTCATGCTGCTGCCTACAATTCATTTACCGTTTTATTAATAGTCTCTCATTTCATTAGCTAAAACTCATTAACTGCTTGTCTGTCTAATCTTGTTCGAGTAATTGTTTCATTAAATATTTAGTTCGATAGCTTTATTAAATAACGAGATATTTGTTTGACACACTCTGCTTTGTTTCAATCTTCCTTCAGCAGATGTTTATGTTGGTAAAATTGTCGATTATCGCGTCGATCACTTTTCCGACACACTTCATTTTCACTATTTTTTTTTCCTTGACGCGATGCAAAATAAAATGTATCATCTCTCCGCGCATTCAATGCGCTTAATTAATTAACCAAGAAGAATCCGAGGGAATAATAAAGGAATTACTGTGAGACGCATTCCTTCTGCGTTATAAACAGCATTACATTAATGCGAAATTATTATAAACGCGAATAAAGACTGGTCCGAATGAACAACGTGGCGGTTCTTTCTTCCGTTTCTTGTTCCACCGTATTATTTCCAAACGCGTGACGACGTGTCGACGACGATAATCGGACTTGCGAGCGATAGTCTGCGGTTCGTACAGGTGCGTACGATCGCGTTCATGTTGCCTTAGTTTGTTCTTGCCATTTGACTCTTCGGTGTTGCGTAAATGAATAAATTTTTTATCTGATTTCTCTCTTCAGGAATTTTAAGCAACAACTGTCTATGTGTGTGACGCTATTTTTTATATACATTTATAATTATAAACATATTAAATATAATACTGATTTTATTAATTTTTTTTTAAGGTAGAAATTAAAATTAAAATTTATTTCTATATATATTTGAATCGAATCTCTTCTATATGTATCCAATTGACGCTCTGTTAGAGATTAGGAAAGAATATTTATTCTTAATAGTCTGTAATTATTTAACATTTTTAAGGAAAATCCGGTTAGAAAGGATACATATTATGGAATTATTCGCGAAATTGTTCAGTTATTCCCTATATTTCTATTGTATTTTTCGAGAAAACGGAATAACTCTTATAAGAGAATCTATTTCAAAAACAGTTTTATATATTACTAAACATATTATATACTCAAAGCGCAACAGCTTATGTTTATAATATGTTGGAGAGTACCAGAGAGAGAAGCAGTGATCTTATATATTATACAAAAAAATAACAAATATAACAAATAACGAATAAGCATATTATGTGAAAGTACGTTCTTTAATTAATTAACGTATGCGTGAAACACAACATTTTCACTTCACAATATTTCTCGAAGTTTAAAAGTTGTTTGTGTCAAATGATGTGTTACGGAAATAGGCGAAGCCTTTACATACGAAAAGGGAAAATTCATTTTAGCGAAACATCTAATCTACTCAACGTGACAGTAATTAACGGAGGTATTACCTTTCGTCGCAGTTTGTTCTCTCTCTCTCTCTCTCTCTCTCTCTCTCTCTCTCTCTCTCTCTCTCTCTCGTCGTGAAAATAACCATTCTCGTGATAAAGTGCAAAAGAAGAAATTTCTTCTAGCTCATCGATTACTGACTCGTCAAAAGTAACGCGGCTATACTTGCGGTTGGAAATAAATTGGTGAATCGAGAACTATAAATACTACTTGCACGAATGTAAAACCGAGGGTGAGCTGAGAAACTTTTAGATCCGGTAGCAGGTACCTATATATCGATTTCGCGCGCTCGATTCACTATATAAGTTATTTCAAAAGTAAAAAAAAATATGACCTGTTCTTCCGCTGACAAGAACCTATAAAGATCTTGTTTACATAAAGTTTTACTATATGACGCAGAACGTAGAACATGCTTGAAAACAATCCGATGGATTTGAAACGTACTTTTTTCTCAGAATTTCGATAAAAGTTTTTCATCTTCTTTCGCGATTTCTTTAGATAATAATTATCCTAGTTAGCAGTTTTATCTTAATACGCAGTTTTATTAAATGTATCGAGTTTGCATTTAAAATTTTATCGTCAAACTTTATTTTCGCTGAATTTAATTTGACATAAAAAATTTTCACTTACATATGATTGAAACATTATTAATATCTCGACATTTTCTCGACAGGAGGAAATCGAGGCCAAATCACACAGATTAAACTCGCAAATTCTCTCAGCACTTACTCGAAAGCTCACGTGGCTCATGTATCACTGCTCGGAGTTACTAATATGCGTTAAACGAGTGCAATCAAGACAAAATGACCGCGACAATTACACAGAGAACACTACATATAATTATTTCGCGAGGCGTAAAAGGGAGAGGATAAAATCTCATCCGGAAGATTGCGTCACGCACTCACACATACGTACTTGCACACGTATTAGATGGCACGGTTAAAGAAAAAGTGGGACAAGGTTTTCCGTGTGCGATAACGATATCGGCGCCGTATGTCATGTCAACGTGTTAAACGACAACGGTCGGTTCTCGTAAAAAAGAAAAGTGCAGGTATGTCACCACCTGCGAGCATTGTTGTACAATGTTACGACGATTTCCGTGACGGATAGTGGCAAGTAATTGAGTGTGTCTCGGTGGACAGATGATGATTGAGGCGCGCGTTCTACGGAGGTCAAGTAGTTACGGAAATCGATGGGACGACGACGACGACGATGGGACAAGTCCATTTCTTCTTGGCAACTTTGTTTTCGCACGAAATTACAAATTTCAGTTTCATTATCAGTTTACAGCGTAGTTGCTAGCGATATGTTTCGCCGATCAGGAACTTTACTCGATATCCTGTTTCTTTACATGTTGGTTAATTGAATTTCTGATTTTGCCGGGAACTTTCGTTTTAAAAGCCCATTGAAATGTGCCTTAATAGCTGTAAAGATTACGAAGATATTCATACTGAATCAAACGAGAATAACTTTGTGAGATACAATAATATATCAACCTAGTGAGATGTGTGATAGAGTGGACACAATAGGATCCGAAATTAGAATTTATATTGAGTCATATGGAAAGAACAATGTTGCCGAAGTATCTAAAAATTTAACTAGATACAGATCTGAAAATAATTTTGTTGAGCCATCAAAATAATGAAGTATGTAGAAAACTCATTAATCAACTATAATTAAATTTTTAGATATCTTACAATAAGTATAAAAAAAGTTCTTTCCGTGTTCCATGCAAATTTGAAGATAAAAAGAAAGAGGACTGGTTTGAATTCTCGTTTAACCGGTAACAACTCGATTCGAGGCGGATCAGATTACAATTATCGTCTTCGATTCCATTGATTTCCGACGGCGACAACGGAGCCAGCGAGGGAGCAAATATTTTCGGAGGCAAATCGATTGTCGTACCCGGTTGCCCACCCACGCTTTCATGCTCTCGCACCGCCCGTTCGTAGTTACGTAGTTTCGATTTCAGTGCATCCGTAGAATGAACGGCGACGGAAGATGGAGCCTCCGTTTACGTCAGAGGCACGCGCGTCGGCGCGACGTAAAGGAGCAGAGTCTTTGAACAGCCGCCCGGCGCGCCTACGTCGAGGGGACGAGCGATTAATCCCTTCAGCTGACTAATGTCGCGATGGCTTTCCATCTTGTACAATTATTATAAAGTTGACCCCCTTTCATTAAATTAACAACCTATAATAAAGTCCGATAATTGTAAAACGATTAAAAATGAAAAGTAATCTAATTGTGAAATATAAGACTCAATATCGAATTTTGCACATAAAAGAAAATATTTTACGTAATATGCGACCGAGTATCGTGCCACGTTTTGATTGATTTCGACAATTATTATATGTCATTTCTTCACTTTAAATTTATGAAGATGAGCTAGTTAATTCATAAACTAATTGTGATGTTCTTATGTACCAGGAGTTTCGAAAAAATTAATGATATCATTCTTTCTATTCGGGAAAGATTTAAAAAAACTCAATCCGTCAGTTCTCGCCATTATCCGATAATGGAAGCCGATACTCAGCTGGGTGTTGGATAACAGCGAGCTAACTTATCGGCCTGTTCCTTTATCTCGCCTTTTCTCATTAGCTTCAATGATTAATGAAAAAGTCAAATGAAGGTATTCATGGGGCACAGGGCAATTCTCTGGGAAATCTTAGTACCGAGGAATAATACGGAAGGGAATGTCGTGAAAGGGATAAATGGTCGAACAAGGAATTGATCGGAAGAGGCCAGAGCGTGGTCGCCTACGTCACGACGACTCTACGGCGTCGCATGAAACGCAGAAAGTGAGCTCGAGTGAATGAAAGGCCAGGCGATCATGCCCGCAGTTTTACGACTGGCAGAAAAGAGACCGAGAGAGGCTTTATCGTCGCCATGTGTATTGGGCCAAGCTTTCGACAAGTTGTGGGATAACATATGGGAAACTTGAATTTAAAAATAGAGAAACGGAAAAGAGTAGTAAGCGTACATGAAATAGTCAAATGGTAACGTTCCAATCTGCGTACTTTTTGCACAAGTATGCATTTTACGTAAAACTAGAAGAGAGAAGAATAGGGAATATCGAAATGACAGAGAGAGGTAGGCAGGAGCCAGAGAGATCAAGAGAGCAGGAGAGAGAGAGAGAGAGAGAGAGAGAGAGAGAGAGAGATGGAGGGAAATCAATAAGCAAGCCATCGACGCGTTTACTTTCGCGAGGAAAGCCTCCTTCGCGAGTTCCCGAGTCTCTAACGATCGCGAACGAGTTCTCGCGGAAGTGCTCCGAGGTGTCACCTGGAAGAGTCACTCCCTGGGGATGGGGAAGGAAGCTGTCTCCCTTCGCGGACGACGGATCGCTCCTCGCTGTGATCGCTGTCGACGTGGGAAATCGGTTGTCGGCTGCGACGAGAGCGGAGTCAGCGGAGAGATGCGACGACGGACGGGATGCACCACGCCACGCGCTGCGCTGCGCTCGGCTGCCGATCGATTAATATTTAACGCACGAGGGGGGTTCGCGAGGAGAGGGATAAAGCGGGCGGCCACAAGCGCAGACGGGGGATATTTCCTCTGGTTGCAACAACGCGCTCTCGCGATGTGAGACGTCTCGCACTGACCAGCACGGCACACGATAGGGGGAGTTTATTTCGTAACAGCGAATATAAGGAGACTGGACTGACCGATCTCGTTGAAGCGTCTCGCGCGCACCGTAGACCACCCGCTTGGCTATAGCTAAAATATCGACCATTTCGTATGACCCCCGCCCGTCGTCGACCAAATCCGGGGGTAGATCCGCGCCTGCGCTACCAGCAACCCCGACTGACATCAATATAATCGTGAATAGAAGCACACGTTCGCCGGGGGAGAGAGAGAACACTTGTTGATCCGGGGATGCCCCGCGGATATCTATATCATGATTTTCCGTGATTTCCAATCCGTGATTTCCAAATTATTATCGATCTCATCAGATATTTCCTTTCCGATAGAGATATATTTTTATTAGGATTTTATACATTAAGACTTTTTTCTGGTTAAAAGCATAAAATCTTCTATTCCTTGTTGTGTATAACATTGACAAACGTCGATTCGAAGTGATTTTTTTATATTTTTAATCTTGAAAAGAGAGATTCAATTTTTTAACTGTATCTTTTTCTTTTTATATGTACATAATTAAAAAATTTTATTATTAGTAAGGAAAAAGGAAAAAATGAAATAATTGACAGATTGTTTAATAATTAAATTTGATAATTTTTAGAAAATTTATTTTATACCAAAAATTTTAATCCAATTAAATGGTTTTTTTTTTTCCTATAAAAAGAATATTAAACGTTTAAATAAAATATATCTAATATAAAAAAAATAATTATCACACAAACTTCTCTCACAATTTTGGTTAAAAAAAATTAATTAAAGAATTTGTCATTAAAATTTTTAATGTAAAAATTTTCTCTTTCTCTTTCTCTTTTATATATTTAGTGTGAAATCCATAATCGATGTATCTCTTAAATATGAAAGACTACGTGTTCCATCTACAGTAAAACTGAAGAACCACGAACTCTCCTCTGTTCCTGTCGGCTAGTAAATTTTTTCATTATTACCAATATTGATTTAAATTGATGCAGCGCCTCAATCATCAAATAGTCGCAGTATCATGGAATTCTCGATTAATTTATGTTCCCGCAAGGATAATTGATCCGCATAACTATTTGGGCTTATTGTTAGTAAATCCATGCACCCGAGCTCAATGTACTGTGGACATACATTCACACATCATATAAACAATATATACACAGTGTAAGCGATAAAGCAATACAAATTTATAGAAAAGTAAAAGCAAGACACAATTTAATTCGAGAAAAATAATAAGAATTAGATATGTATTTTATACGTATATACCATATAGACGAAAGAGAATAATAAAGCTAAATCTTTTCCTTATATCCCTTAATTAATGAAAATGATTAATTTATACTTACTGTGTGCGAATAATTTTAGTTGCATAATTATGAACAATAAATAATTTCAACTATATCACAGTATATATCAAATTTTCTTTATTTAGTTTCTCAAAAAATAATAATTTATATTTTACGTAGATTATATAATATATAGATTCTTTTTATTATATATATTTTACAATATAGAGGAACCGGTTCGTAAAATATTAAGTCTAATATATACACTTCTATCTATTAAAAATTGTTTATCAAGAAAGCAATATTTTGTTAGCGATATTCGAGTTTACTTACGAAACTATAATATAATGTGTAATTTTACGTTACTAACATATGTATACATATGTATATTCTACGTTTAGTATTAAAAATTGTCATGTCATCACAGAGAAGAATGATATGAAACGCAATAGCGTTAATAACTAAGCGCTTATTTCTATTTGGTTCTTGTTATTTTCTTGATTTTTTTATAAACCTATGTGTCTATATATACTATCGCAATAAAAGAATGCAAGAATCTTCATAACATGTAAAAGTTTCCCTAAGCAATAATGAAGAAATGAATCTCAAAAGTCAACAAAATAAGTCTGTCAAGTATAATATTCTGCTAACCTTTAGAAATTTATTCTTTTTAAACCAAATTTTTTGTTTTTTTTTTATTTAGTTGATTTAATACATGGCAAACGTGACAAATATGGCAAATGTGACGATATTTTGGGAACCACTGAGTCCAGTTTAAAATGAAAAAATCAATTTCTGCATTTCTAAAGATTAGTCAGCAGTAATATCTGCAGTAATATCAATAATGCTTTGGCAACCGCGTCTCTCTTTTAAATAATATAAAATAATAAATAAAAGTACTATTTCCTAACATTCTTCAACATATTGCTTTTTTAATCTTTTCCCGGAAATTTTCCTCGAAAGAACCATTTGATTTACCGCTTACGATCTTGCTCATCCTTACATTGCAGATGTTCATCTATTCATCTATTCATCTATTCACGAAACAACTTTTTCTCGTCCAACATGTAATTTGCATTAAGTAGCAAAGTAAACCGCACAATTATATACTTCAGTTCATACTGTAACTAGAATTATACATACGTATATTAATCAAATTTAAATATCCGCAATTATATAGTCCCTATTAAAAAAAATATGTATAATTACGTTTTGCAAGCATCATAGATGTACGTAGAAAAAAAATTGCATAATTCCCTCTCTACATAATTTAAAGTATAATATTACAAACAATACGTGGAAAAAATATTATGGTTGCCAAGATTGAAAATACGATTTTATTGTAAGAACTATAGTATGGTTGAGCTGTAGGTCCGATTTTTTATTATCTGGTTCATTTGATTAAGCTTAACCTGATATTTCACCCAATGGATTTCATTCATGACATCGTCATAGATGAAGCTTATTGGATAAAATATTATAAGTTAACCAAATAATGAAAAACCAGGCCATAAATTGTTAAAATATTCTATCTTACGGTTATCACAACCATAACTATATTTATACTACAACTGTACTATATAGTTTTTATAACCAAATTGTATTGATGGACGAAAAATACAATAATTTTTGTTGTGGCAATCATAACGTTGTTTGTGTGTAGAATATATTTTTTATGAGATAATTTTATTTTAAAATGCAGTAATGTAGGTATTTAATAATGTAGTTTAATTCGCAAAAAAGAGTTGCTAACCGATTTTCGACCTACAATTTACTTTCGGTACTCTCATCGTGTACGATTGCTGGATTTTCGACAGCCCATTTTTCCTTGGTGGCCTTTTGCTCCTTCCTCGGTCGATTCTTCAAGTTCTGTATACCGGCATAATGCTCCTCGATTTCTTGTAAAGTCCTACCCTCGGTCTCAGGTAATATCGCGAATAGTAGACACAAACCAACAAGATTGATCATAGAGTAGAAGAAAATCGTCCCGGGTAGCGACATGCTGTTCTCCATGTAGAGGAAGGTTTTATTCGCGATCGACGCCATGATATAGGCAATCATACCAGCCGCACCGGTTGCGCTGCTGCGTACCTGATGGCCAATTCGAAATCGTTTGACAAGAAAACCACACGAAGTGATAAATTCTGGTTTTAATGAAACTTTGTATACACAACTTTGTAGCCCTATTTAGAATTTATAATAGAAACCATTAGATGCGGATACAACATCTACGAGAGAATCGAATTGTACTTTGTACGCTTTTTATGAGCACGATAAACCCAGACAGCCATCTCTACGTTCTGACAACGTTAGCACGATATCGCAAACGTATGTTGAATACGTCGTCAAGATATTCAAAACGCGTCTGTGATGTACAGAATATTTCTTCAGAATCTACTATGTCCGCGGTTTCTCATCCCGTAGACTTCGCAGAGAGCTCCTAGTGATATATACCGTTGTTATTCTGAGATGTATGAGTATGTCTTCAATACGTCTCCAGGACGTCTCTATAGTATCCGCGTTATCATAGTGATGTCTCTAGTATGTCATGTATGCATGCACATACATACACACGTACGTACGCATATATATAAAATTTCGCGCACACGCTTGCATGCTGAACGAATTAAGTATTTGCACAGTGCAGTTGCTACTTTAAAATAGTAAATATTTTCACAAAGAATCAAACTTCTTTAAAAATACTTCCTATTTTATAGTAACAACTGCATTGTGCAAATACTTATAATTCATTCAGCATGCTTTATTCACTATGCTCGTGCTTAATCTCGTGGCTTACACGTCTGCACACCATGACACCTTCTTTTTCTTTTTCTTTTTCTTCAAAATTGATGGCACTCGCCGCAAAAATGGCGACGATTCCGGCCAGAATCGTAAATAAATCATGTAACCAAAGTATGATACATCGGTCACCTCAAACCGGTGAATGGAACGAAATAATGATGTAATCAAGACAAATAGCGTGCATTCGTTTATGCAGCGGTTAGCGCAGTGAGTATATCATTTAATCTTTGTTCAACACTCGGTGAACAACAAGGATAAAGTAATACTTCTGCGCTAACCGCTGCATAAACGAATACACGCATAATGTAACACAATGCACAGTCGAAGCCGGAAACACTTTTCAAAAAATGGGTGAGATGATGATGCGTACGTCCGTCCCCCTCGAGTGGTCTCGCGAAACTGACACCATGACTGCCATGACATGATGACATTGGAAGACATGACAGTATCAAGAATAATTTAGAGACGTCTTGGGTATAATCGATACGATAGCAGTATATTCAGCATCAAAATCGAAATTTAGTTATTATATTTGATATATCTTGACAATATACGAGAAATAATATTTCACATGGGTTATCAGAAACCCATGTGTTTCTGATAACGGATAAATATTAATCTGACGGTTTGCGTGGTGGGGTTAGCTGTAGGAAGGGGTCAAAAAATCCATGTCACGTTTTTTTTTTGCAACTTTGTGACTCTCCCATTTCCTTACGTCACGCTGAAATCGTCAGATTATTGAAATGTATACACTTTTCTACATGTAATTAATACACCATACCTTAATCTGACGCGCTCGAGTTAGATACTAATTTGACGGGCTCCCCTGGACCCCCGGCTCTATATAGAGGTTTAATATGTGGTGGGGGTACTTATGAGGGAGCAAGCTTTCCCCCTTTATGTTATTCTGACGCGCTTCGAGTAAATCCCAAAATCCCCGCTTGGCCTCCCCTACTACTAGCAGCGTGATCCACGAACGACCAATTAGGACCTGTTTTCGGCTGGGGGTGCGCTCTCTTCCATCGCGTCGTGGATACTGGTTGTTTGCACCGGTACCCCGTCTCGCTCTCATCTCGCGACCGTCGTAGACTTCACTTCGAAATCCTTTGTCCCCGAGCTGTGTCATTCGAGCCGATCGCGACTCAAGAGATCTTCTCTCTAGGCGTCGTCGCGAGTTCCGTACCAAATTTACTCCATATCTGGGCAACAGCCTTTAAACGTCTTCATTGATCGACTCAGGGCATTAGCTCCTAGGCGTCGTCGATATCAGTGAATCGAACTCTATGCGAACGAACGATACTCGTCGTGATAATACGAACGATACTCGTCGTAATACGTTGCGTCGTGGTAATGCGAACATTTTCAATGTAATGCGTAATAAAGAAATTACTTGTGATACCAAACAATAAAGACGAAAGGACAGTGCAAGTTCACTAGTATTATGTTGCATTGATTTCACACGAACAGATATCTCGAATAATTTTTAAGACACACCGAAAGAAGTTAAAACCGGCATTACCTATAAGAAGCGATTTCACCTCCTTTAAATCGCTTTCTCGCTGTAACTAATACTTTTTAAATTCATTTTTTTATGTAACCTATATGTATACAAAGATTTATTAAAATTAGAATTTAATCATACTTCGTATGATTTCCTTGTGAGATCAAGAAAAATATATGTTCATAATAACGTTCTAATAATTCAATCTTCATTTAATTTGGAAAGATCGGTTGATCTTATTAGATTAATATTAGTTTGTCAAAAAAATTCTAAATTATCCTTCTATTTTTTTATGCAAAATGGTTTTCATATACAAATATTTCAAAAATAACAAATATCAAATTCGGCAGTTAGCAGATTGGCGAATGGTTATTAAACGTGATGGTTTGTATTTTGAAGAATAATTGTCGTTGTTTCTGAATACATTTGTATGTAAAAATCGAAGGGTGATTTAGACCGTTTTTGACAACCTAGTAGAAGAGAAGTAGTTTGGCAATTAAATGTAAATGAAATTTAAACAATTTCAGGGATTAAAATTTGAAAATATTAAAAGAGAAATATAAATAATTAGATTCCGATCGAAACTTTTCCCGAAACACTCAGCTACATGTCAATTTCAACCGAAATTGAAACCAAAATTAAAAAATAGAATCCTATAAAGGTCATATGTATAGACATTCCCATATATCACATACTTTTTCTTTATGAATATCATAAAAAATTTATTGAAACAATAATTAAATTTCAGCCGAAAACAAAAACCGAAATTTCGGTTGTGTGTCAATTTTGGCCAAAGAATGTATGTAGGGGAGACCGGGGCCGATTGTCACAGTTTTTGATTATTGATTTTTAGAAAAAAATGGATGCCTGATTTTGAAATATTATATACGTTACAATATACCTACATTCTTTAGGTATTAAAAAAAATATTACTCGTGAATTCATCATATCATAAAAATAAGTTATTTAATTTTAAATGAAGCTGCGAAAATATGACAATTAATCCCGTGTTCTGGGTTGATTGTCACACGTTCTAAGATTGGCAGTAGCATATTTGTTATGGACAACACATATAAAAAACATAATTTTTATTTTAATATCAGTTCTATATTTTGAGAAATAATAGTAATTATAGTACTAATGCAAATAAAATAGTTATTTTAATCATAAAATACGTAATTTGTTTTTGTACCATAGTTTCTATATGAAAAATGAAAAAACATATATCTATATGAAATATAATATATTTGTAAGTATATTCTCTGAAAATGTGTCCTCTAAAGATATCAAAATTAATTGTCACCTAACCTCGTGTCATTTTGATCAATCTACCCCACATAGCCATTTTTAATAAAAGAGATTGTATTCACAAACTTAGTCAGAATAATGATTACTTAATTGTAGCAAAGATCTTCTAAGATATGTCATTTTTTATGCATACAGGGATATTACGATTAATAATGCCAAAAAGACTTGTCAGACAACAAAAATAGGTGATTACAAAAATTTACTCACCAACTTCATTTTCTAAAAAATCGTTATAAATAATATATACAATGCTTGTGGTGCAAACCGTTTTTTAAACAACAAATTAATATTATATCAGCTATCTACAGTCAAAAAAAGAGATTTTTCTGCCGTGTCTTGTTTGAGTTATAAGCATTTTGACAATCAACCCCGTACGACAACCAGCCCCGGTCTCCCCTGCTTCTTCATAAACATTATAATTTAATTATTGAAACAATAATTACACATAAAAAAATTAATATTTATGAAGAAGAGCTATATGGTCGAAACTGACACGTAATGAGTGTTCGTTTTCAGTTTCGGTAAAAGTTTCGGTCGAGCTCTATAAATATATAACAATGTAAAATACACGCACTTTTACGGGAAACACCTCTCCAGCGAGAATCCAAGGCAGCGTCCTGATGCAAATGTTTGCCGTGAAAGCACCGCCTATCATAAAGGTAGTAGGTATCCAGCTGTATTTAATCCCGTCCAAATAATCTGCATTGTTTAAATAACCATAGATAGCGGTAATGAGGAAGCATAATCCGGTACCACCGACCGAAAGGAAGGACAGCTTGCGTTTTCCCATAAGGTGGATCGTTAGTACGCATATTGTGATGCCTATTAACTGAGCTATGCCCAGGAATACCGTGGCAGTGTATTTGTCGATTGGTGCATTCAATTTCGCGAATATTATAACGGCGAAAGTCTGCAGGGTCGTACAGCCACCGAAGTTACTGATAAAGAATGCCGCGCTGACCAAAAAGAAAGGCTTGTAGAAAGTTCGTTCCGTATAGGCTTGCCAAATCTTTTCTTTTTCAGAGCCGGTATTATTGGTCGGCTTCTGAATCGCCTCGCAAAGCGCTCCAAATTCATTATGCACATAAGACGGGTTTACCCAACCCCGCAACCAACAGAGAGCGTGTTCTGATTCTTTGAGACGACCCTTAACTAGAAAAGAGAAATCAATTTGCTGTATTATTTAAAACTTAAAACTAATAATTCTTAAAAATATTTTCATACAAGATTAGGCTACACATATATTTATAATATTTGTTTCCTCTAAAAATAGTGAAAAAAGTTTTTATTTAAAACAATAGAAAGTGACCATATTCTATTAAATCGTTAAAATATTTAATCATAATTATTGCTCGTTTTATAATTTTTATATCTGAGAAGAAAGATAAATAATAATTAGTTAATATTTATAAATAAGTAACAAATAAATAATTTAAGAACAAAAATAAGCTAATAATAAAAATTTGGCAAATTTGTGAATAAATAATAACAAATAATTTGATTGATAACCTACCGGCGAGCCAGTGTGGACTCTCGGGTACCAAGCATAAAGCGAGAAAACAAAGAATCGGATAAATCAGATTGATTAGCGCCACCGTTCTCCAGTGGACTAAACTGCCGCTCAACATTTGTGTGAAGATCCCCAGGATCACCGCCATCGAGGAAGTCGCAGAGAGCATTCCTCGAAGATAGGGTTGCGTCACCTCAGCGACATAAGTTATAACTGGACCTTCGAGGAGGCCTCCTGTCAGGCCCGTTATCGCGAGCGCCGCAAGCAACATCCCGGGATTGCTGGAATAGTGATATATCAGCCAGGCCACGACGAACGGTATATTTGCCAGCATCATGGTTCGTTTTCTACCCAAATACTGTGACACCGGTCCACTCACTAAGCAGCCAAATGGCACGAGAAATAAGTTCAGGCTGCCTGGAAGAGGATATGTTAACAATGAAAACATTGCAGAGAGAGAGAGAGAGAGAGAGAGAGAGAGAGAGGGGGCGATGGGGGAGGGGAGAAGGGCGGGGAGAGAGAATAATTATTTTGATACAGATACAGTAAATAAGATTATTATATGACATCCAGTTAAATTATTCAGTTAAACTGTAAATGTATATAGTAAAATGATAATTAGAATTAATAATTTAAATGTTGAATAATTTATAATATGACGAACTAATATTACAACGTACTATAAAATTTAATTGATATAAACTTAAATATCACAATGAAGGAGTATTATAAGAAAAAAGGCGAAAGAGAATCTCTTTGACAGATAAAAAAAAATTTTATATTTCAAAACACAAATTTTTTAAATAATTCAATGTTGCATTTTCTTAACGTGCTAGATTTAAAAATGGTTCTTTACTGATCCATGTTAATTCCTCCATCGTGACTTTGATGTCCGAATCCTCCTTTTGTAACGCTGGGATAAGGATAGTTGAGAATCCCAAGGTTGTACCAAAAGTAATCAGGAGTAAATTTTTAGCGCCAACTGCGCAACATTGTGGTATTGCTTGTCGAAGTTTAGAAATATATACTTCTTCATCCGTAACTGATGTTTTGTCATCATTCCTAAAATACAGAGAAAAGAATTCAATGTACGGTGTAGAGGAAAATCGCCGATACTGACATAGATCTCTTAAAGTGACACCCCCTTATTTCTCAGAAACTAACTATTGCACTTTATTAATACTAATAAAATCATGATCTGTTTAGCTAATTAAAGAAGTACAAACTCATAATTCATATATTTGTAGCTTATTTCTATATCAAATCAGCTAAAAACCAATTCTATGAATCCAAGAAGAAAATTCTTATGGTCTTCTTTTGCAAATTGCGTAATTAAAATAATAGTGACTGTATTATTGATAATATTATATCATTTTAAATGTTTATAGTTTTCTTTACAGAATAGGATATATCTTTATTTATAGAATAGGAATGTTGGCATTATTGCCTACTATGTCAGTTTTGGAGCCCATTTTGTCAGATGCTCATTTTTGCATAACTTACGAAAAACTTAATTATTGCAAAATTGCAAACAGTATTATAAAAATTGCTTATACTATCTGATAGAAAACACTTTTTACTTTGTATTTATGTTTTTGAAGTTGTAGTTTTACCTTTTGTTTAAGAAATATTGTTTAAAAACAAAGTGGTATGTCGATATCGGTGACCTTCCTCTACTAAAAAAACAATGAGTTTAATATCTAATTCTTTTAATATTATATATAGATATATCAATTATTATTAAATTAATAAATATTAAAATCTTCACAAAACGAACTTGTATTAGAGCTCTCTTTCTTAACAATAACAATATATATGTATAAAACATGTGTAAATAAGAGCTACAGAAGCGTCTCTAGACGATATGGCCAACGTATATACATCAACTTTGCACATATTCGCTAAATATTGATCTACATTCAATATGGATAATCAATAATTACATATGTCATATATGTTGATATATTATGATATTTGCTCATGTTGGCATACATTTGTCATATATTGTCTGGAGGCGCCTTTACACGGTTATTAGTAGTGTATATTCGATTAAAAAGTCTGTATAAACTGACAAAGACACATGTCTAACGAGAATTAAAAAATGTTCATGGTCACAATATTTGAAATGGAATGGAGTTGGAGGATGGAACTCTCCTTATTAGAACTGATGATCTTACCAGCCTAGAAACTGAGAAAGAGAAGGGTTCACAAAATTGAAATTGGAACACTCAAGTTCGATGAAAAGTCATCGTCATTCTTCAATTTTATATCATTTCCCGGTAAAAAATTTTTCATGCATGAATGTGTATAAATATGTGTAAACATACATAAACACGCACAAATATTCATAAACATGTATAATTATATATGAAATAAATCCATACATGTCCATACATCCTTTCTTCTTTTGTAAAATTACTTTTTAGTGTAATAGAAATAATAATAGTAAATGAAAACAAAGAGAGGGCTAATAAGAGTTTTTTTTCGCGGTAATTCGTGCGATAAAGAAATTTTCATATTACGATAATCAGATGTTTTCGCTTCCTTTCGAGCCATCTTCAGTATATCTGAACAATACAATATAGGGCAACTTCTATAGCTAAACGAGAGAGTGACCATTCATTCCGTCTCCACCAATTCATGACACAAAGTTGGCAAGTACATACAATAATTTAAAACATGAACAATATAGATGAAGACAGACAAAGAACTCGATGGTATAAAATTAATGTAAATTATTGAGAATAGAGATATACGCGTGGTACAAAAATTCGGTATCAGATTGTAAATTTAAACTATTTTTTGTTTTGAAACGTTGGACTTATCGTAATATGCAATAAATTTCTTTATCGCACGAATTACCGCGAAAAAAAACTCTCATTAGTCCTCTCTATGTTTTCGTTTTTGACATTCTCGAGAGTTATTGTTATCAATTTTATATTTAACCCTTGAACTACACACTTATTTTCGGTACCTTTGGACGACGAACATGGATCGTATTCGACTCGATTTTAAGCCTCTTAAAGTGCTCGAAAAATTCATACATATTCTTTAAGGTCTCTACTAAATTATTCTGCTATGCAAACATTGAAAAAAATGTTTAGAAAAATTATGAAAATTACTTTCTGCACCAGAAAAGGAAAATTCAGTTTTGATATAAAAATTGTAACTTTGCTATATACGAGGGTCGTCTGAAAAGTTTTGAGCCTCATCATGAAGATGGCGTTACTCGTCAAAGCCATTCTGGTATTATAATCGTGATACTTACGAAAGATATCTGTGACAATTGTGGCCACTTTGGACGTTCAGTTCTTGTTTGACAATCATTTGTGTCGTCATTTTGTAAAAATGGAAAAAATTGAATATCGTGTTATAATTAAATTCTTACATTTGAAAGGCAATACGTCTACACAAATTAAAGCCGAGTTGGACGCTGTTTACGGGGACTCTGCCCCATCATTTGCCACCGTGAAAAGATGGGTAGCTGAATTTAAACGTGGTCGTACCAGCTTAGCTGATGATGAGCGTTCGGGACGGCCAACAACTGCGACCACCACCGATAACATCGAAGAAATTCATCAAATGATAATGGACAACCGTCGAATTAAGATTAGGGAGATAGCAAAGGGTGTTGGCATATCAAAAGAACGTGTTTGTCATATATTGACTGAAGAATTAGGCATGCGTAAGTTAACCGCGCGTTGGGTGCCGCGCTTGCTCACTCTGGATCAAAAACGCATTCGAATGAATATTTCTAAGGCCCTGTTGGAGCGGTTTAAGCGAAACGAGTCGGATTTTTTGCGTCTATTAATAACGGTTGATGAAACGTGGATCCACCACTTCACTCCTGAAACGAAAGAACAATCAAAACAGTGGACTGCGAAGGGTGAACCTGCTCCGAAGAAAGCGAAGACGGTTTTATCGGCGGGTGATGGCGACTGTTTTTTGGGACAGTCATGGAATTGTGTTGATCGACTATCTTGAAAAAGGTAAAACAATAACAGGGACGTACTACGCATCATTGCTTGACAAGCTGAAGGCAGAAATTGAGAAAAAACGACCGCATTTGAAAAAGAAGAAAGTGCTGTTCCATCAAGATAATGCAACGTCTCACACTTCGGCAGTCGCTATGGCAAAAATTCACGAATTGCGGTTCGAATTAATTGACCATCCACCGTATTCACCAGATCTGGCCCCCAGCGACTTTTTTCTGTTTCCTAGGCTCAAAGTTTGGCTCGGAGGACAGAAATTTTCATCGAACGAGGAGGTCATCGCATCCGTAGATGCCTATTTTGCAAAGCAAGACGATCAGTATTATTTGAATGGATTAAAGGGGTGAGAGCATCGCTGGAAAAAATGTATCGACTTAAAAGGAGACTACCCGAGTAGAACTTTAAAAGGGGGCACATACAGGCTCTAGATAGTTTTTCCCCATTTCTGTCTAGGCCCCTTTCAGGCAAGTCCGATTTGGCCCTGTACAGAGATGTAACGCTCGTGCAAATCAGGGCCCGATTTGTAAATTTGATTAGGCCCTATTTGGATATGCCTAACTAGACCCTATCTGGATATGCCTAACTAGGCCCTATCTGGATATGCCTAACTAGGTCCTATCTGGATATGCCTAAACTAGGCCCTATCTGGACACGCCTAACTAGGCCCTATCTGGACACGCCTAACTAGGCTCTGTCTGGACACCCCTAACTAGGTCCTGTTTAGACACGTTTAACTAGGCCCTATCTGGATACGTCTAAGGTACTATCTGGACACGCTTAAAAACTAAAGCTAAAGCTTAAAAAATAAAAAACACCAAAAAATAATAGCGTTCTGCTTTAGCTTTAGTTTTTAGATAGGTAGATCAGACTATATAGATAAAAATGTTAATAGACTTTCGTCACCCATTCGTCATAACAATTATTCCTTACGAGAAGGGTGGTTTACCTCCCGCATCAAGGGTGCATGGAAAGTCGGACATATAAACTTTACTATCTAACATAAAAAACATTTTGTAATAGTTTCGTGTTGATCGGTACATTACTTTTATGTGAAACATCATGACGATGCCCTAATATCCTCAACTTTGGGGGTCGATTTTACCCCTTTAATGTTGATCATTGCCGATAAAAAAAAATACGTATCTATTATTTTTGCCTACTCTACAAGTGTGCAAAGTTTCAATGAAATCGGCGAGTCACACAAAGGTAGGTTTACTTGTGAGCCACACAGCCCTGACGCTGGTGGTCTCTCTGTTGTATCTATATCTAGTAAATATCTTACACTAGGCCCTTTCTAAGCCCAACGATGGCAGGCCCTGTTTGGGGCATTCACGTCAGTACCCATTCAAGGCCTGTTTAGGAAATTCCATCTAGAAGTTTCCTTCCTAGGCCCTTTCTAAGCCCAACGATGGCAGGCCCTGTTAGGGGCACTCACGTCAGTGCCCATTCAAGGCCTGTTTAGAAAATTCCATCTAGAATTTTCCTTTCTAGGACCTTTCTAGGCCCAACGATGGCAGGCCTATTTTAGGGCATGTCTGTTCAAGCCCTGTATGGACGTAGGGCACGCCCCGACAAAATTCTACCCGGGTATATGGAAAAATAAAATTAAATTTGACCGAAAAATTACTTGTTTCTATGTTAGGCTTAAAACTTTTCAGACGACCCTCGTACGTACCAAAAAAAATCATTGTAGGATGTTTTTGTGTACAGATATCATAATTTACAAAAAAAAAAGATTACACGAGCCAAATGCAAAAAAAGTGCAATTATTTGAGCATCTGAATATGTCATATTTTTAATGTGGACAAATAGAGTATTTTCAAAGAAAAAACAGTTTTTAATTTTATTAAAGTACAAAAATGATTATTTTTAATGCAAACAGAAATATTAAAGAAATAATTATAGAATAATAAATTTTTTTATAGTATGCATTCGCTGCATATCGATGATCTGTGGACTTCGCATATCGGCTTCCCGCAGTAAATACAGCAAAAAAATATAGACACGATAAAATAAGCCTACTCAATACAAAAATAGCAAAATAACTGATTCATTTACTTGTGAAAAAGG